AACTGCCATTGCCATGGAGAATGGAAAAATCATACACTGCTATGATATCACCAGGGGGTGCCCACAGGGCTCAAAATCAGGACCTCTCTCCTGTGGAACATCCTATACAATGGGATCTTCAATCTTACCAACGGCCCTCCCCATGATGGGGACCCTCTGATCTATGGATATGCAGATGACACAGTCATCCTGCTTTCACATACAAATCAAGAAGTCCTCCCAGGTCACATGAACAACTTCCTGAAGTTAATGCACAACTGGAGTAAGGATAACTACCTAAAAATTAATTATAACAAGTGTTCATCTATGGTTTTCCCAAAGAAGAAACCCACTCACAAAGAAGCCAACTATTCACATTAATGGGAATAGGATCCAGCATGCAACCAACATCAAATACTTAGGGGTCATCCTGGACCCTAAACTGTCCTGGAAAGACCATATAAAATACACCTATGATAAAGCTAACAGCACTAGCCAAAAGCTGCACTCAATTGCCAGGAACTGCTGGGGTGTTGACTCGCACAATAGCAAAATTATTTACAAGGGTGCTATTGAACCTATTCTCACTTATGGCTGTGAGGTCTGGGGTTATGTCGCTAACAAGGTCCACATCCGCAGAAAACTCCTCTTGGCCCAAAAGACTGCAGTTATCTCCATAACAAAATCATATGCCACTGCCCCAACTGATGCTCTCCTTGTAATCGCAGGCTTAATCCCAATCAATCTAATCATTACCTACAAGTTTCTAAAGAACCTCATCATTAAGTCTATCCTCACCAATAAACACACAGATACCATCCATAAGACGCTAGACAATCTAAAAGTCCCTAAATCGGTACATACTTTAGTGGAAAAGATTATCAACCTCAGGCTGGACCTAAACATCTCCCAACCAGCAATACACCCGGCCAACATTATCTCTAACAACTTTGACCTATAACACCTTCCATCTGTAAAGGGCCTATACATATTTACAGATGGTTCTAAGGCTCCGGGAGCAGTTGGCACTGCAGCCTGTCTTGAAGACCCCACAAAAAAATTTTTCTGGAAAGCTGCTTACAAATTAAATGAAACCTGTACAATAAATCAAGCAGAGTCACTTGCCATTTGGAAGTCACTCAATCATATCAAAAATAACATCCAATACTATAAAGGTAATAAAATCTACATTATAAGTGACAGCCGCACGGCACTGCACCAAATCAAAAATGAAAATTATAAACTTCCAATCATCCAGAACTGTCTGAACACCATAAAGGCATTGGAAGGAAAGGCTCACATAAGCTTCCACTGGGTCAAGGGGCACTCTGGTACCAGTGGAAACGAAAATGTTGATAAGCTTGCTAAAAATGCCCACATTGTAGCTTCTAACTACTCGTACACAGCAATTCCAGTCTCCTTCTTGTGCAATGAACTTCACTCTGTCATCATGGCTTGGTGGCAATCTGACTGGGAAAACAGCCCCACCGGACGCAACACCTTTCAATTTATCCCAGATGTCATCAGGAGGCCTCACCACCTGAAGCATCTGAGCATGACTCATGTTCTTACTCAAATCCTAACAGGGCATGGTAACTTCAAAAGTTATTTACACAGGTTCCTTAACAAAGGAAATGGACTATGTGACTATAACATTCAAGAAAAGGACGACTCTTTTCACCTCATCTTTACCTGCACGAAACTTACTCAACACCGTCAACCGCTACTGCGCAAGGTAACTGACAAGGGGCACCATTAGCCCTGTCCCCTCAATGCCCTCATTGAAGACATGGACACCTACCGGACTTTTGTGCAGTACATTAACAACCTGAGGTTAGTGGACTACCATATTCCAATCAATGGACAGATTACCTCACCAATATCACCCGCGCCCAGTAATCAAGACTCATCGATCTCGTCTGAAATCCGTCCACATCATCACCACATACGATCTACCTACTCTTCGCTGTGCCAATCCTGGCTCTCCTTTCTCAGCATACAGGTTCTCTGCTTTGTCTCGCATGTAAGCCTCATAAGGCACCCCCTATCTCATCTGTCCAATCAAATTGTATATAATCTACCTTGTTAATTGTATATTATTTTATTTTAAGCTGTTCATTAATTAGTTCCTGGCAGGTGCCCATGGATCCCTCCTTTCCTTTATCTCTTTTCCTCTCCCCACTCCCTACACACTTACCCCCTTACAAATATATACAATGTAATGTAAGCAAGAAAAAAAAAACAAGTGTAATATAAAATACATAAAGTTTTGATATATAGGTACATGAAATACGGAGATTGCAAATACAAATAAGCGTGAATGTGTAAAATTAACGTACAATATCAAGAGGAATTAAGTGATTAAAGTAACACAACATAATAAAGAAAAGTAATGATGTTTCAACATTGCAAAAGACAGATGTAGGTGAATGGCCTGCAGGCATGTGAGGCAGTTAGATGTAAGCAGTGACAGTGGTACGACCAAAGTAGTTGTTTATGAGCACAAGAAAAGCGAGGTAAGAGTCTTGGTGGTTGAAGAAGCTGTAGCAGTCTCTAGGCCAGCTGTACCCGTGTGCTTCAATGGTGGACTTTAAATAGTGCCTCTCCAGCTCCAGCATGGGACAGTCGAAGATGTAATGGAGATTGCTGTCACTAGTACCACAGAGGGAGCAGTTAGAGCTAGGGGCGTTGACAAATCTAGCCAAGTATGACTGAAATCTACCATGGC